AGCAGCTCCTGGCCCTTCTGGGCCCCCATCGCGCCGCCCAGGCTCCCCGAGGTGGCGCCCTCGGAAACCGTAGCAGCACCAGTCACCTATTGGTGCAACACCACGCCGAATACGCACATCTGTTGCTGCTGCTGCTGCCCGCGCCACGGGCTCCACGTCGCACATCCACATGTCGCGCACCAGCAGCCTCCATCGGGCAGCAAGTTCTTGCCGCTGACGTCGAACGCCTCCTTGATCACTGGTTCCACCAGCCGGCGGTCCCCGCCGGGCAGCAGCGCCGCGCCGCCTCCACCAGGGAGGCTCATGGAGGCGAGGGGGGGAGAGGACGGCCCCCCTGGGCACCGACAAACTGCTGGATTTTGCGTCGCGCGCCACCGCTAACGACGTGCCCCACCCAACCGCCCGCCGCGCGCCCAGAAGGAGACCCACGCGCGGGGCGGCGCCACTGAGCCAGACAGGCTACGGGGCTCAACCCCCGTTTGGGCCCCGAAGGGCCCAAGCGGGGCTTGAGCCAAAATGGCTTGAGCAAAAATGGCTACGGACGGAGGAGGAACAGGAGGAGGAGGAGGAGGTGGAGGATGAGCAGGAGGAGGAGGAGGAGGAGGAGGAGGAGGAGAGGAGGGGAGAAGGGGAGGAGGAGGAGGACGACGACGACGACGAGGAGGAGGAGGAGGAGGAGAGGAGGAGGAGAGAGGAGGAGGAGGAGGAGGAGGAGGAGAAGGAGGAGGAGGAGGAGGAGGAGGGGGAGGGGAGGAGGAGGGAGGAGGAGGAGGAGGAGGAGGAGGAGGAGGAGGAGGAGGAGGAGGAGGAGGAGGAGGAGGAGGAGGAGGAGGAGGAGGAGGAGGAGGAGGAGGAGAGGAGGAGGAGGAGGAGGAGGGGAGGAGGGGGAGGAGGAGGAGGAGGGGAGGGGGAGGGGGAGGGGGAGGGGGAGGAGGAGGAGGGAGGAGGAGGGAGGAGGAGGAGGAGGAGGAGGAGGAGGAGGAGGCCGGGCCGGGCCGGGTCGGGCCGGGCCGGGCCGGGCCGGGCCGGGCCGGGCCGAGGCGCGCGCATGAGGCCGCGGAGCTGGACGGCCGTGAGCGCGGCAGGGCGCCGCCCGTCCTGCCGCGGCAAGGCCCAGGAGGTCGACAGAGGGTGCACAGCGCAGGCACGCGCCGACGTCGGCAGCAGGACATGCCAGTGCGATGCGCTCCCCCCCCCTTGGAGGCGCACGTCCGAACCGAGCATGCAGCAGAGCACGCACGGCATGGCCAGAACCATGCTCGAGCTTCGCGTGCGCTTTGGGAGTCTGGCGTGGCCCAAGCCGAGGTCGCGCCGCAGCGACAGCACGTGGCCACGTCTGGCTTGCGCGTGTCATGACTTCTTTTCGTGAGTCCGCGCGTTCGTCTTGCCTTTCGCCCTTATCGGGCTTCCCCATCCCCACTTCAACCTCCTCGCCCTCTTCTTCCTCCTTTCTATGGCTCCTTCCCTCACCAACATGTACGCGTCGCTCGTCTATGATGTCCCCCTGGCTCATCGTCCTTACCTCCTGCTTCGTCCGTCCTTCTTGCTCCCTCCTCCACCTTTGAGGAGGTAGGATGGAGTGAATAGTAAGGAAAGAAGCACAGTAGCGCCCAACGCCGAATCGCTATGCCGCACATCCTCCCCCTCCTCCTCCTCCTCCTTCTTACCATTAATGCTGTCATTACCAACACAACCACCATCATCACCTTTCCGTGCACATTCTGCTCCGACGCCTTTTGTAGGCGTTTCGGTGCGCTGCCGAGACGAATAGCAGAACGACTCCAAGATGCGACTCCATCCATTCCATCCACGACCATATGATCACCAAAAAGCAAGTCGCCTCCACCGCACCCTTAACCATCCCGTCTCTCCTGTCTCATCCATCATACCTTTTCCTCCCTCCTCGCCCCGCCGCCTCCTGCTCCGCCTGCTGCTGCTCGTGCTCCTGCTGCTGCTACGCCTCCTCATCCTCGTCCGGCTCCTCACCTCTTTCCCATTCCTGCTGCGGGCAATGACTGGCGTGGAAGATGAGGCTGCTGATTTTGCTGGATAATAAAAGAACAAGTGTGCCATGCTCGGGATGGCGACCCACCCCATGAGCACCAGCACGCACAGTGGCCATGTCCTGCTACAGGCTACGGGACAGGGAAAAATACGGAAGACAACTCGCAAGAGAGCAGCAGTACCAAGCAATCAGTCCTTCGACCAAGCCTGGAAAGAGTCAGTCGTGTTGCCGCTCAAACAGGTGAGTGAGCTAACTTGTTCTCGTCTTGCGGTCCAGGTGGAGGGAGAATACGGAGCGGGCGTGAGCTGCACAAGATAATTGTGGAGCTAGGGAAATGGCAAGCATGACAAGGGAAACGGAATTCAAAAAACATGGGCCATGTCGGGACACTTTCGGAGAAGATAGGGGCGGCCAGGGATGGGCGGAAGGGAATTCACGGCCCATCTTGGGACACGGTTCGGAACATCTTCGGGATATGCTTGGTCTCTCAATCTCTCTCAGCGTCACATCGGCGACTACAATGTGGAATCACAAAAGTAACGAATGCCTCAGGAAATCATTTGGCTTCCTGTCGGCGGTTCTGCTGAGGCCATCCTGTGGCTCTTTTCGGGAAGTCTTGGGATCATCGTCGAGCACCCTGGGCCCTCGATGTCTCCTCTCGTTCTCGGGGGCCGGATGGGGCCCCTCTTGTGACATGGAGGGGTGGTGAGCGGGTCGTCTCGGTGCCTCCCGAAGGAGCCCAGAGGAGGCGTTGGGGAGGCGCCGGGCGGGGAGGGCACCCTGGATGTGCTCCATGGAGCCTGCAGAAGGGGAGGGGGTGCCAGGCCCCCAGGCCCGTGCTCGCGCGCAGCGTCTCGCGCAGAGGGCGGACCGGGCTCTGGCTCGGGCTCGGGTTGGGGCCAGGGCTCTGGCTCGGGCTCGGGCTCGGGCTGGGGCTCGTGCTGCGGCTCGGGCGCGGGAGCGGGCGCCGGCTCGCCCCGGGCCCTCTTGGGCCGTCGGATGCTGGAGAAGGGGGACCGCTAGAAGCAGTGAAGAGCCAGCGTAAAATCTATGACTTGTGCCTCGTCAAGGCCCCTTTGGAGTGCTCGCAGGGCTCGCTTAGGGTGTCTTGGGGACCCCTTGGGACGTCTGGAGGCCATCGAGGGCAACCTTAGAGCGCTGGAAAGCCGTCTTTGGCAAATCTTGGCGATCTTGGGGGACTCTTGGCGCCAGCTTGGGGCAACCGTCTTCACCCATCTCGGGTGTGAGAGAGCCCCCTGGGGTCGTGAATAGGGACCTCTGGCCCCTGAGGCAAAAAGTGGGCAATGGGGGGGCGACAGGGGAAGTGTGCTGCACTTCCGCGCCGTCTTGAGTGGAAATGTCTAAGAGCTGTGGTGTTGCTGCAAAAGCCCAGCCGCCGTTCCCAATCTGACCATCTTCCCTGCTGAGGAGCGAATCCTGCATGCTCGACGATGCCAGGCTGGCTTGGGAAAACGAGTCTGAGAGGGAAGCGTGTTGGCCAGACTGGCCCCACGCAAAGAGAACGTAGATCATGAGAAGTTCGACAAACGATTGTGGGCTCGCGCACGGAACCAGCCACACGAGAGGCTCGGACTCCTGCGGGCTCGGGAGAGCCCGTTCCGAGCCCAAACCTTCACCGCCTCCTGGTCTTCTTATGCCTCATCCTGCCATTCCTCCTCCTCCTCCTCCCCCCTCCTCCCAAGATGTTACTACAACTCCCACGTCAAAACAGGTCCCTGAGAATCGTTGCTGGATGGGGTGGTGGGGATACTTTTTTTGTTTTTACGGCCGCAGGCGGAAGCGCCAGCGGCAGGCGGTCAAGCTTAATTGTCCTTTTACTTATCATGCTTAGCAACTCATAGCTTGCAACCAAATAGCTTGCACAACAGCTATGCACTCCGTAGGTTGCACCGAATAGGTTGCACCCCACAGCTTGCACCACATAGTTTGCACCAAATAGGTTGCTCCACATGGGTTACGCCACATTGATTGCATCCCATAGACTGAACTTACATAGAGTGCCAATCGAGAGTGGAAAGACCCACTGACTCAGATCCGCGCTGGCAAGCATCGCTGTATAGGGAGCGCATCATGCGAGCATTAGCAACTGAATCAGGGTGCTCATATGTAGACTCTGCCGCATACGCGTACAACGTAAGTGTGCGTACTATCTAGCCGCGTAAAAGCGTGAGACTGCGCGATCCGAAACGACAGGGAGAAGAGGAAGAGGAAGAGGAGAAGGAGGAAAAAAGGGGCAAGAGAAATACAGCTACATGCCAGAACGCCCGGTAGACGCGAAGCGAGCTGCATAATCCAAGTGGTGGGTCGCATGGAGCCTGCCACCACACGTGGGGGGGTCTGTTGATACCCTGCCTCGTGCTTCAAAAGACGCTCCAGATCTTCTGAGCATCATGTCGCAACACTATAAAGACGACGTCCAGTGCACAAGGCGATCCAAGCACTTCAGTGGACACCTACATTCTCCACGCCTATCTCACTACGCTCAGAATTAAAAGGGATGACCACAACGAGCCAAACGGCGGTATGGCCTCAACGACCTCCTCCCGCCCTCCTCCTCCTCCTCCTCCTCCTCCTCCTCCTCCTCCTCCTCCTCCTCCTCCTCCTCCTCCTCCTCCGCATCATCATCATCATCATCATCATCATCATCATCATCATCATCATCATCATCATCATCATCATCATCATCATCATCATCATCATCATCATCATCATCATCATCATCATCCTCATCCTCATCCTCATCCTCATCCTCATCCTCATCCTTCTCCTCTTCCTCTCCCTCCCCACGCTTCCTTTCCCGAGAATTGTTGGTAAGCCCCCGAAGGCCGACGAAAGCCTCATAGAGCCTCCGGAAAACTCCCAAAAATATCGTGCGCATCCACCTCTTCCTCCTCCCCCCTCCTCCCCTCCTCTCTCCTCCCTCCTCCTCCTCCTCCTCCTCCCCCTCCTCCTCCTCCTGCCCTCACATTCTTCTCCCCCCCTTCCTCCTCGGAACCGAGCGGGGCGCATCCCGCCCCCCTGCGCAGCTGCAAGGACCATCTGCTATCCCCAGTGGGATCCTCTGCTCTCGCGAGGTGGGCACGGTGCTCGACCGCAGGAACCAAGATTCCAAGTCCGGGCTAACGGCGATGTTGCTTAACGGTGATGTTGGGAACCAAATTGTAGGAAATCGCGAACCACACTTTCCTACATGTCCAATCTGCGAATGGATCGAGCGAACACGACACAGCGAATTGTAGGAAAGCGCGAGCCACGCGTTCCCACAATACCGAAACCTGCATCGCCGTTACCTGTATCGGCGTTAGCCTGTCTACAGAGATTGGAAAGGCCAGGGAAGACACAACTGCAGCAAGGTTCAGCGCTGGAGAGCGAGCCACGCGCGTCGGGAAGCGCGTGATGCTCGGGCTCATGCCGTGGCAACTCGGGCTCGTGCCGCTGCTGGCGAGTACGACTCTCTTCTCGTGGCGCTCACTCGGCCAAAGAAACGCCAAAGCCCACCAGTCTCGGTCTGACGCCAGGCCTCTGGAGAGGAGAGGCCGGGATGCTCGCAAGCAAGCAGACAAGAAGTGATGGGCCGGGCGGTGCGCAGGACACTGGATTGAATCAAACTGGGGATGAAGGAGCTTCCCAGGAATGGAAGGGATTGGATTGGACGTTGGACGCTGGATGCCTCGCGAGATGTCAAATTAATATCTCGGAGTCATGAGCATGCAAACATGTGGGGAACCTGTGCCACGTCCTGGGGAAAAGTCATACGCCCCTCTGCAACAATATAAGGACCAGCATACCTACACAAACCTGCTCTGCAAGCTTCACGTTGTCTCTGCACTGGCCTGCGAATCCAAATCTACTTCGTCGACAAACTCCGCCTCTGGAATACTTGACAGAGAACCGCTTCCAGGCAAATATGTCTCCCAAACATCGGATAAAACATGGTCACAGAAATGGCAAGAAACGCCATGAAGAGAATCCCCACAAAGCAGCACCCCGCACCCAGCACACTGTCTGCTAGTGATGTCCCTCGGGTTCCACTCCTTGCAGGGGCCGTCGATGCCCCTGGTGATCGTGCGCGAGAGGGCGTGCAACGCCGCGTGGAAAGCACAGCATGCCTGGACAGGAACCTCGACGTTGCAGGACATCAGGAGGTCACATACCAAGCCGTCCACCGTTGCCGTGGGCGTGCGGCGGTGCTGTGTGAAGAGCAGGCTCCGATCATGAGCTGCCTTCCTCCTGGCGAAGCCACCAGCAGGACTAATCACGGGGGCTGCCGCGTTCGCTGGTGTAGAAGAGGAAAAGTTGCATAAAGATAAACTTTCGGAGCCCCACACGGATGTCTTGGATCGGCCCTGGACCCCCCTTCCCAGCGCGAGGAGCGCGACAAGGGCGACGCTGGAGTCTCCACCATGGGGATCCAGCGCCGATCCGAGAAATCCGCGCGGAGCTCTGAAAGTTTATGTTCGCTCCGCTTTTTCCTCGTCGATGGTGACCCAGAGACGAGCTTATCGCTGGTGCCGGCGAGGGGGCCCACTGGCTGCTCCTGACGCAGCAGCATCTCCTCCAGCCAACGCTGGGCCGCCTGGTGCACCCGCTGCATGTCCGGCCTGCTGGAGGCGTCGGCGCTGCAGCACTCGGCCATGGTCTGCTCGCAGGCTCGGGCGAGCCAGGAGCCCACCAGCAAGCTGGTCCGATGCGGAGGGCGAGTGGCGTTGGCGCTGCCCGGCTGCTTGCCCGTAGTGACGAAGAGCGTCAAGCATCCAAAGGAGAACACGTCGGCCGCCGTGTCCGGGCTGCTCCCGCTGAGGACCTCCGGAGCCACCCAGCGCAGGGTGCCCCCCAGCGGCTTTGCGCTCCTCGTCAGCGCCCTGGAGAGCCCGAAGTCGAGAAGCTTCGCCGCGGGCGACCTGCGCGGGCAGCAGGCGCGCTCCACGAAGACGTTCGAGGACTTCAGGTCCCCGTGTACCACGCGAGGGCTTCGCGTGTGCAGGTATCGCACAGCCGACGATATGCCAACGAGTACGTGCGCGCGCTCCACGTCTGTCGGCGGCTCAGGAACAACACACGTGGTGGTCTGCTGCTCCGCGGGGTGCTCGCAGAGTATGAACTGTCTGAGGGAGCAGCCTGTCACAAACTCCAGGATTAGTGCAAGCTGCGACTGCTGCTCACCGATGCAAGCCCCGTAGAAGAACACAATGTTCGGATGCCTCAGCTTTCGCAATATTTGCAGCTCGTTGCAAAACTGCATGGCCTGGCCTTCGGTCATTCTCTCATAGGGGCGCATCTTAGGCACCTTGATAGCAACGGGGTGCCCCCTGCAGAGACCAGAGTAGACCCTTCCATACATGCCCTCACCAATGGAAGGCCTATGAAACGACAACTCGTCCAACGGGATGAGCCAACCCTCCTTCTCGCCAATTGGTATGAGCTGCTGGACGCTGCAGCTAGCCAGCATGAAGGCGCGCGCAGTCTCTGTCGATGACGGCCGCGACTCATGCTCAGACGAGGCTTTCCAACTGCTGGGCTGCCAAACATGCTGGGAAAGCTCAAACTCAGACTGGAACCGGAGGCTCTTCTCCCTGATCAGTCTCACGAACTGGGTGCGTTCCTGGTATTCTTGGCTGCGCTTTCCGAAAGCGGCCATGACGACAAGAGACATCAAAAACATCAGAGTGAGCGGCGCATACTCCATCTCCGGCCCCCCCAGGGCCAAGGTGGGGACCGTGTAGCACAGCACACTGGCAACCTCCACACTTATGAGAACGTAGAATCGGACCGGCAGCACAAAATGGGTGCCGGTCACAAACAAATTTATGGCGAGCACCATCCTGGTCTCTGTCATCGGTCCGAAAGATGTGCCGAGTGCTGACGGGTCAAAGCCCAACACGCGAGCCGCGTACCACGGCATTGCAAACGTGTGTGCCATCACTACAATCACAGCGGACACGACTACAATGACCTCCAGAGCCAGGTAGTTTGATCCCAAGGCCCAGCCCAGGATGAAAGTAACGGCGAACATGGCAGTGGCCGTGACCAATATGCAAGAAACAGCTGTGGTAATGAACAATTGCGTCCGATTCTCTTCAGCAGTGGGGAACTGGCCTTGCTCCCAACACGCGCCAAGTACCAGGCTCCCGCAAGCCATAAAGCCCACCAGAGCGGAGAGGACGCGGAACTTGAAGACCAAGCTTGGCATGCGGTCCCTCACGAATCCCCGCTCGATGCCTCCATGACAAAATCTCAGGGTGGCGGTGTCGATAGACGTGTCGATAGGGACGAGCTGGCCATGACCGCCATGAAGAGGGGGGAGCTCTATCTCCGCTGTCCTGAAAAGCCACATCTGCTAAACGGGTGGACCCCCTCGTAGACACGCAGGCCACGTGGAGCCTGGCCCGCTCATGCCAAGATGCCTCTGCTCCAGACGGCTGCGGGTGGGGGGCCGCCACAGGATTTCTGGACCGAGCTGACGATGTGCGGGAGCCAGCTCGGCAATCGGCCACTCTGGACAGCCAGACTGAAGGGAAGCACACGATTATCCGCCACCGCGCTTGCACCGCGCTTGCACCAGCAGTCCCCCGAGCCCGCTGAGGGGCCCAGAAAGGCCCCCGGGGGCGCCCAGGAGGCCCCAAGACGCCCCCGCGAGGTCCCGAAGAGGGCCTAAGAGGTCCCGAGAGGCCCGATAGGCCCCCAAGAGGCACCCGAAGAGGGTTTCAAAAGACATTGCGAGGGGTCGAAGAACGATGGGATCGATATGACACAGGTGGTACCTTTGGTGTACCACTTGAGTCATGCAGTTCGCATCCAAGAGGGAAGCATACCAAGAGGCCCCCAAGAGGAATATCAAAAGACCCCGACAGGCATTCATCGATATGGCCCAAGTGGCACCTACCAAAAAAAACCTCTGCCCTACACGGATGAAGGCGGCTCCGCTTCACAGTGGTGTTCTCGCCTGAGATGCCGCGATGAAGCGGGGCTGTCGCTGAGCATTTTCCTGAGCGCACTGCTTGGAGCTCGCCGGATGGAAGGCGGTGTTGATGGGCATGTTTTCCACCACCACCACCACCACCACCAGAAGCTGGAGGGGGGAAGGAGGTGGCGGACGAGGAGGAGGAGGAGGAAGGAAAGGACGAGGAGGAGGAGGAGGTGGTGGTGGAGGAGGAGGAGAAGGAGGAGGAGGAGGAGGAGGAGAAGGAGGAGGACCGAGGAACCCCTCCCCCTCCAACTTCTGGTGGCGGTGGAGGTGGAAAACAAACCCAAAGTGTAGGTCCGTGGGGCGCTCGTCTCTCGAGGGCGGCGCTGCCCGCAGCGACGAGAGTGCTGGTGCGGGACCCCGTGGCGGGGAGGCGCAGTCCAGCGTCGTGGACACGCCTCTGGCTTGCTCCAGTCTCCCTCCTCTTTAGAGGGCAAAAAACCACCCCCATAATAAACACCCCGACAAGCGAGGCCATTTCGTAAACGCACCCAAAGAAGGAATCGAACGGGGCAAGGCTTTTAGTAAACGCCCAGGGCCGTTTAGTAAACGCCAATTGTCCGGTCCGGGTGTTTTTTCCTCCCTTGACTCTTCCGCCTCCACCTCCCATACACATCTGTCCATCCCTGGCTCCCTCCTCCCTACTCCCCCTGTGGCCCATCCTCCCCCTCCCTCCCCCCCATCCCTCCCCTCCCCATCGCCCTCCCTCCCTCCCTCCCGCCGCCCCCTCCTCCCTTCTCCCCGCTCCCAAAAATCCGATACGGGGCCCCGGAAATCCCGACCCTTTCCCCATGGCCTGCTTTTCATCCTGGGGCCTGGCGAGGGCCCCCAGAAGCCGAAAACAGCGAAAACAACATCCCACCTGGGCTTTCTCAAAGTCAAGGACGTTGGATCCATCAGATCATAGCTCGGGCCTGCGGCGGCCGTTCTGGACGCTTCGGGCACCCCTGGGACGCTCTCGGCGAGGCGCAGCTGCAGGAGAGCACCCCGAGGCTGGACGACCTCCAGGGACCTGCGAAGATGTCCGAAAACGAACGGGAGGAGGCCCCCTCCGCAAAAACTGTTTGGTCTGCGGGGCGAGAGCGAACCTCTTCCGGTAAAAGCTAGGCGGGCTACGCACAACTCTAATTGGAGAGACAGGGCACAGGCGGGCGAGGCCTCAGGCGGCCGGAGGGGGGCCGGGGTGCAGGCGGTGCCGAGGAGCTTGCACAGGAAAAGGAACGCCTTGGAGGCCCCCTCCGCAAAAACAGACGACATCATGTTGGCCAGAACCCACTATATCCCCAAACGGCGTCTTTGCAGCCAGAGTGGCTCCCAAATGCTGCTCGCACGTCCTCCGAATCGTTGTCCTCGTCGTCAAAAGTTGCCGTCGTCGTCGTCGCGTGCGTCGCCGTGGCATTAAGTCGGGCGTGTCCCCTTACAGGGGGATTCTCGACGAAAAAAAAAAATACTCAAGAAACACTCCAACATAATCCAAAAATCATCAAAAAATAGTCTGGGGACTATTTGTTAAAGCATTTGTTGACCATTTTGGAGTTGTTCTTGTATGTTTACTTTCTCGTCGGAAATCCCCCTGTAGGGGGACACGCCCGACTTAATCGTGGCACCAAAAACTGCTGGGCCTCCTCCCCTCGGAGCCGCAGGCGGGGGTGGTCCTCCTCGCCGCCTCGGCCCAGCAGGCGGGCCACGGCGGGGGTCAGCCTGCAGGGGGCCAAGGCCGTCAAGGGCCTCGCAGCTTCTGCGGCCCCTCGACTCGCGCTGGAGCGTCCACGACTTGCTTTAAGTCAGGCCTGTCCCCATACAGGGGGATTTTCGACGAAAAATAAAAAATACCCCAGAAATACACCAAAAATAATCCAAAAATAGTCAGGGGACTATTTTCTGAGCATTTTTTGACCTTTTGGGGGCATTCTTGGTGTATTTTGAATTTGTCGTCGGAAATCCCCCTGTAGGGGGGACACGCCCGACAGAAGACTCGCTGCGGCTTTTCCTGCAGATCCCTGGACTTACTCAGGCTTCCCTGGCTTCACCTCGGCCCATCCCCGCAAGTCGACCGGAGAGAAACATCGCAAGGCGAGCCCCACCGCCCTGGGCGGCAAGCCGTGCCGCTCCTCGTGCGCGGGGCGCGCGTCCACCCGGGCCCGAGCGCCACACCCGCCAGGGGGGCCGTGGGCGGGCCGCGCCGCGCGCACCCGGCGGCGCTTCCGCGGCGCCCTCGTGCAGGGGGGGCGTGCCTTCGGGCCCCCCTCAGTGGGTTGGCCACCGCATCGGATGCCTGCTCCTGGCGAGTAGCGTTGAGTCGGGCGTGTCCCCCTATAGGAGGATTGTGGGCGAAAAATCAAAAACACTCAAAAAAAGCCCAAAAGATGCCCACAAATGCTCAAAAAATAGTCCCCAGACTATTTTTTTACAAATTTTGAATATTCCCCCTGTAGAGGGACAGGCCCCGACTTCAGAGTAGCGGTCTGCCGATCCGCGCGCTTGCCGCCTCGCGGCGTGGCGGCGGCGGGGAGGGCCTCGCAGCTGCAGCGCGCAAGCCCGCTCAAGGGCGAGGGGGTCTTTGTGTCGCTGTTCGGTGGCACTGGCGGGAGTCGAGGAGCGCGGGGCCGTGCTCCGCCGGCCGCAGGCCCCGGACGGGGCGCCCGCGGCCCGGCTCGCCGCAGCGACGGCGGCGAGCGTGGCACACGCCACGTGAGCGGCCGCCCTGCTGCCCCCGACGTCCCCCGCCCCCCCCGACGTCCCCCGCCCCCCCACCCCCCCAGCATAATAGAACGCAATGACATGGACTGAAACTATATATCAAGTCATAAAATATGTTAGACTGATGTTATACGACATCATCTGATAGTGTGTGAAACAATACGGATGGTAAGTTAAACCGTACTGCTGCAAGGTATCACATTGCATGATCGAATGTGTTACGATGTATGATGATATACTACAATACCTCACACGGTCTAATGTGGTATGCATTCTGCTGATATAATACAATACATCGCAAAATAATGTACAATAATATGGAAATTATGCACTGGCAAAATAAAATATGATATAAAACCAAAGCTATGAAGTACCATATGGGATACGATAACCGAATGAAGTAAATATTCACTTGCATAGCAAAGTACGGTCGACTGTACTATAATAGAAAATAAGCGACAATTCGAATTGATATACTATGATATACAAAACCTAACAAACAATCTAATACTCTATAACAACATATTTGTATATAGACATAGAACAGACGCATGCAAATGTCATAAAAAAACATGTGACAAATAGCATCGACGATCATGTAATTTAATATAATATGACAGACTAAACTGTAGTGGAATGATACTGTATTACAGTGTGATACACTAAAATGAGGTAAATATGATATGATGTTTAAAATATGTTATGATATGAATGTGTACCATGTAATATGATTTGAATTGGTATAATATGTATGATGCACTGAAACATAGAATTGAACATATACATACATATGTTCTGAGAGAAGGGGGGAAGGGGAAGGACAGGGAGAGGGGGGAAGGGGAAGGACAGGAAGCGGGAGAGGGTAGGGGGAGAGGGTGAGGACGTATCTATATATATATATATATATACATAGATATATATATATATATATGAATATATATATATATATATATATATATATATATATATATATATATATATAGCACAGTGTTCTGGGAGAGGGGGGAAGGGGAAGGACAGGAAACTCGCGAAGCACCAACCAATCGATGTCTCGCGCGTCAGCCTGATGGCAGCCGATCGCATGCAAGCTCACACCAAGGCGCCAGGCCCGGAATAAAAAACCTGAGCTGCGGAGGCGACGCAGATGCGTGTGGTACAGAATCTGTTCAAAAGAGTGCCGATATTCGGGGATGGACAGACCACCCTTTAGTAAAACGTGGTTTAGTGAAAACGACCTCGGGCCCAAACCTGGCGGGCGCAAGCCTGGAAAATGACGGCCGCGGCGCCCTCTCGAGACCCGAAAACGGACAACTCACTAATCGACTTGTCAGGGTTGGGTTTCTGTCCACCCCCGAGATATACAGGAACAGGCACAAGAAGAGGGAAGGCAGGGGGTGGAGGAGGAGGAGGAACAGGAAGAGGGAGAGGAACACACAGGCTGACAGGTTTTAGACTGCGTAACCGACTCACCCCGGCCTGGCACAAAAGAAGCAGCCGCCCAGAGGGGGAGGAGGAGAAGGAGGAGGAGGAGGGGAGGAAGAGAGGGAGCAGAGAAACAAAGCGCGCTGAAGCTGCAATGCGTCTGCCCTCAGCCGAAAACGACGCAGAATAGGATGTAAAGACGGCCACGCTGTGACCGCAGGCGGCCGGAATAAGAAGCGGCCCGCATGAGGAACCTCAGAGGATAAGCATGGATCACCTCCACCGAGAACACATCGTGGGGGAGGGGGGCAACCTCTTCACGGTGGCACGCCAGAGCGTCACCGTGGACCCAGGTACCATGTTTCTCCTCTGACGACCGGGGCCCTCGAC